CCCCCACCCCCCACCCCCGTACTGCCTGGAGCTCCCGCAGCCGCGCCTCAGTGCTCTCCTGCGCTCCCCGAAAAGCTTGCACCTCGCCCAGCAGCCGGCCCAGGTCCTCGGGGGGCCAGCGGCCATCGTCACTGGGAGCGCAGGCGCCTGCAGGCGGGAGGCACGGTGGGGCCTGAGTCACAGGAAACTGGGCCAGCCGTCCCAGCAACCTCCACCCGGGTTCGCTGGGCCCTGCGGGCTGCCCCACCTTTGCGCCGCACGCGGTCCAGTAGTTGCTCCCGGCCACGCACGAAGCTCGGGTGCTGGAACTCCACGTGGTCGCGCTCGGGCCGGAGGAGGCCTCCCTGCTCAATGCTCACCACCTTCCGAAAACCGTCTGCGGGGTGCGGCGTGGAGCCGTAAATGGCCCCACCCCCTCGCACCAAGTCACCCACCGCCAACTCCTGCCAGGACCTGGGGACTCACACATATTGAGTTGCCGAACAAAGCTCGCCATGTTGCTGTGCTTGAAGTACTGGGGCAGCACTTCCTTGGCGAAGCGGCTCTGGTCGTTTACGAGGAAACTGGTCCCGCTCTGCGGAGAACGCCGCCCTCCCACCGAGACCGGAGGGCAGCGTGAGTGGTGCCCGTCCAGGGCCAGGCGCGCGCGCGCACCCACACCCACCACACACACACACACACACACACACACACTCGCTCTGGGACCCTGTCCCTCAGGAACCAGGGATGAGGCCAGGCTAGAACCAGTTCCGAGGCCCAGCCTGGAGTGATCACAATGAATCCCTAGCCCAGCTGGACCCCGACTCCGTACCTGGTTCTCAGGAGAGGAGCTGCCGAGGCCAGACCTGGGTTCCAGCCCCACAAGGGGAGGAGGGGGGGTTGCCAGACCCATGATGCGACTCTGAACTAGAATCAGACCCAGCCCTTCTCTTCTGGCCTCTGTTTTCCGATCTGTCTGATGGGTTGGTGTGGGAACTAAATGACCATAAAGAACCTCTAAGTTTCCAGAAGGCTCCTTCTCCTTCCTCGCCCACAGGTCACCTCACTCCATCTCGCACACCCCCTCCAAGATAAACCATCCTGGACCGCTGAACCGAGGAGCCCACAGCCGGCCTCGGCGGGGGTGGGGTGGGAGAGGATGCTCACGGACGGGGAGGAATCCCGAGTGCCCCTGGGGGCGAGCAGGGGCCCCAGCCCTCACCGGGCTCCAGCGAATCAGGTGGTCTGTGCTCGGGTCGCCCACCAGCGCCCACAGCTTGCCGAGGAAGGCGGGCACGGGGCTGGGGCCCGGCTCCGCGGGCAGCGCGGCTGGCGCCTCCTGCATGGTGGAGTCTCGGCCCAGCTCCGCGCTCGGCCGGTCCGCCGCGGTCTGGTCAAAGCCACGGAAAGTGCTGTGTTTGCCGCCCGCCCTGCCCTACTCCGCCTCCCAGCGCCGGGTCAGGTGGGGGCCACGTGCCCCCACGGGGCGGGGCTCAGCCTGGGCCACCCCACCAGCAGACAGAAAGGGCAGGCTGGGATCGGATGTGCGTGCAGGGGAGAGGTGGCCTGGGTTCGAGTTCCACCCTTCTCAGAACCGCTATGTCTTCCATTTTCCTTCGGAAGAAATGGCCTGTGCGCAGCCTGGTGTGCGCTGGTAAAGTCCTAGAAGGCGAAGGCCATGGCACAGTGAAGCCTCCGAGCGGTCAGAGAGGAGCGGAGAAGGGCGGGAGGCGGAGAAGCGGACACCCCCCTCCGGAATCCTGGGGCTTCGCCGCACCCCTGCCTCCCGCAGCTGTTTCGGTGCAGCGGACCTTGCGGTCTCAATCTCGCCCACTCCTCCTCCGACCTCTGCAGGATGCCTGCCCGCCCCCTTCAGAGCCGACCAGGTCTGTCACCGGACGCAGAAGTACCGCAGGATTTGTTTATTCCACACTTACCCTGAGGCTCGGCCTGCGCTTGTGCCCTCCCCGCCCCCACCCGGGGGGAGGGGGTTGCGGAGCTGGCGCGGCATTCCCAGAGGAGGGAGGTTGGAGGAGGGTGATCCCAGTACCCCGGGCACTCGGGGCGCCTGCAGATGTCCAGAGCATTGAGTGGACGCAGGGCACCCCTCCCCCCAAATCCTCGAGAGGCACAAGTGGCAACAGAGTCCTGACGGAGCCGGTTAGCAGTTGGCGCTCTCTTGGGCACATCCACCCGGCATCTGAGGGGCCGCACGCCTGCTGGGGGCAGGGGCGGGAGAGGGCTTGCCCCGTCACTCCACGCGCGTGGGCCGCCAGGGATGGCGCTCCCGCGTTAGTTTGAGCGTGTAGCTGCGCAGGCGCGGGCAGTGCGCGAGGAAGGCGTGCAGGACGGAGGGTCGCACCACGCAGAAGCAGTGCACCTCGCGCAGGCCCGGGCAGCGCTCCGCCAGCAGCTCTAGCGCGGAGTCCAGCTCGGCAGAAGCGGCGGCGCGCACCTCGAGCGCGCGCAAGGTGGCGGCGTAGTGCAGCGCCGCGAAGCGCACGGGGCCGGCGCTGTCACCAGAGAGGCAGAGGCGCAGCGCAGCCACCGGCACTGCGGGCTGCAGAACGCGCGTCACGCTCTCCGCGGGCATCGCCGGCTCCAGTTCCACCTCCACCACCAGTCCAGGGTGGCGGCGGCGCAACACGGCCCAGGCTTCGTTGGGCAGAGGGGGGGCCCGTGTGTCCTCAGGGCAGGCGCACCGCAAGGCCAGGAGAGCGAAAGGCGCGCGGTCCGGCGCCGCCAGCACCTCGAGGGCGGCGTGTGACAGGCTGGCCAGGTGCAGGCCGAGGGTGCAGAGGCGCGGGCAGGCCTCTAGCAGCTCGAGCACGGAGCCCGGCCCCACGCTGCCCACCAGCGTACCGTTGTTCAGGAAAAGGCTGCGGAGCTCGGGGCAGCCGCGTGCCGCCCGCAGCACCAGCGCGTCGTCCAGAGTGAAGGGCAAGCGCCGCAGGTCGAGGTGACGCAATTCGCGAGCGGCCCGGCAGATGGCGGACACGGCGTCCAGGACATCGCGGCCCGCGTCGAAGAGCGGCTTCTCTCCTCGACACTCCAGGCGCAGGCCTCGAAGTCCTGGGGTACGGCCTGCCAGCGCTGTCAGCAGCTCCGTGGCCATCCGGCGGCTCGGCTCCTTCGATGGGTCAAATTCCAGCCGCAGATTGCGAATGTGGTCCAGGCAGGCTGACAGATATGGTGGCAGCATGCCTTCTCGCTCACAGTAGCAACTTGGGGTTAGAGCGGTGGAGAAAAAGCATGGGCTGTGTCCCCGACAGCAGAAAAGAAACCTCTACCCATCCCTCGGCCTGGATTCCAACTACCATCCCCTTCTGCTCCCTACCCATACACCTCTCTGACCGGACCATGCCTGGCTGCCCCAAACTAGCCTAATGCGGGGAGGGAACGCCCACCCTATCCCTTTAGAAGACTTCAGATGCATCTGATACAAGTTGAAACCCTGGCATGGAGAGCCAGGGTTTTAGGAACTGGGTTTTCTCAGTGGTCTCTAAGGAGACATGCATAGCCAAGTTCACACTCGCTTCTGCTACACTCTAGCTGAGTGCCTTGCAGGAAGTGTTTAACTCTTTCTGCCTCAATTTTCCATCTGTGCAATGGAGATAATACTATCTATTAATTAATACATGTAAGGCACTTATAACAATGGTACATAGTAGGCAGTCAATAAACGTTAGTAATTATTATTCTTTTTAATACAGGGAGTCACTGAATCTCCCCAACCCCCAGACTCCACGGAGAGAGGGAGAAGACTGGAAGGTGGCAAGAGGAAGGAGGGGAGGAACGGGCTCACCTGATGGTCGTGTCGTGCCACACAGCGCTGCAGATGGCAGCAGCGGCCCAGGCTCTGCAGACCCTGGCGGCGGCAGCGCGGTCCCGCAGGGGCAGGTGGCAGAAGATGAGCGCCAGCACCTCCTCCGGCAGCTGCTCTCCAGGCTCAGCCATTGCTGGCGTGGGGTGGGGGGTGTGAGGCTCCCAGCAGCTCTGGCTTGGAGAGAGAAGGGTGTCCCTGGGCCCCTGGAAGCCAGAGTGTGGAGGAGAACACCAGAGCCCATGTATGGAAATACCTGTGGCCCAGGAGCTAATACACAATTTGTGGAGCCCAGTGCAAAATGAAAATGCAGTACTCGTTCAAAACATGTTTAAGAACTTCACGCCAGTGACAAGCAGAGCATTTAACCAAGTCATCAAACCAAGCATGGGCCCTGTGCTACTGCACAGGTCTCAGACTCATGAAGTCGGCCCTGGATGCTGAAGGATTTCTGATTTATTTTCTCATTTAGAGGGGAAAGAGAGAACATCTGATTCTCCTTTAAACTACATTATCACTTGTTGGGGGGGGGGGAAATCCCCATTTTATACAGTATTACAAGGAAAGCAAGCACGATCTATGCACCAAGTTGATAAAGTCCAAGTGCCCAGGTTTTAGACAATGCTCTCTGATCGTCCTCCCAGTTACTAAAGTCTTTCCTAGAGAGGTTGGAAGGCGACTGCATAGGCCCTGACTCTGAACAACCTGGTCCTCCCCATCCAGCTCAGACAGCCCACCTCCCCTTCCCCTGCCTCCCTTTACATAACTCTCAGAGCTGCCCAGGCCAGTCTTCAGGGGTCTCTGAACTGCTTCCTTCCCAGCTTGGACCCTCAGTACTAGGGAAGGACTGGGCCCAAGCCCTACCTGGAGGGCAGTTGAAATGAGGGCTTCTCAGACTGTGAGGGGCCCGGAACCACTCCCACATTTGTTCCCAATACAGAATCCGCGGCCCCATCTACTAAATCAGACTCTCTGGAAAGAGGAGGGTCCAGGAATCTGAATTTCAACAGGCGCCGGTGGACTCTACAGGTCCCAAGGAGATAACCCCCCTACTAGCCTCGCCGGTCCCTAGAGAGTGACAATAGGGTTAATAGGGCGGGAGCATTAGGGAAGACTTTTAATTGACAGGGACCAGAGCCAATCAGGAAGCGGAGGAGCGGGTGGGGCACCGCTGAATCCGCCTAGAGAGGGGAATGCCCTTTCCCGTCCTCCCCGCGCCGGGAAGACGTCCCGGGTACTTCCAATGAGAAACTAGTGGGAGGAAAGCTTGGGGCTCTGGGTTCAAGTCCCGATCTTGACCCCAGGGCAGTCCAGGCTCCCAGACTCAGCTGGGATTCCGCAGGTCCACCCCCGAGCGCGGCCTTTCCCGGGCGGGCGTTGTTGGAAAAGTGTGCATCCTCTTTTAAGTTGCCAATGTTATTTTAAGGTGCTTGAAGGTTTTCATACACCACGTTCCACACCACTTGCCAGTTTTCGATTTCCCGTATTTTCCAGACTAACGCTTCCTGCTGGAATTCGCGCGTGTGTCCTGGAAGTTCAGACACCCTCGATCAGGCTTCCACCTGGGACCCACCGGCACCCCGTCTTGAGTGGCCGGGAGCCGCAGAGATCGGAGATCAGAGATCATCGAGCTCGATCCCCCAGAAAGCACCCGAAAATTCTGGTCCCCAGGGGACGTCCCTTTGTTGACCCGTCTGTTTCCCGCCCGAGGAAGCGGGGCAGCTCTCTCGCCCCGGAGCCCTGTGGTCTCGTTAGAGCCACAAGTCCCCGAGGTCCCTGGCCGCGGGCAGTGTTTCCTGCCGTCTAACCTCGGACGCCAGTGTCTTACCTGCTCAGTGGACCGGGTGGGCTTTGCCCACAGGCTCGGGACTCGCGGTGGAGAGCAATGGGCCAGAAGGAGCCCCGGGGGCGGGACGCCGGGGCGGACGAGGCGGCTCGAGCTGGGGCGCCGCCCCTGCGCTTGGCGCACACCCGGAAGCAGCGCGAACCCAGTGGAGCTGGCGTGGGAAGCCAGGCCGGGCCTGGGGGCCAGGTTAGTGCAGAGGGTGGGTGGGCTTCGCGGTGCTGGCGGGAGCAGAGGTGGATCCTGGCTCAGGATCGTGGAAGCGGGGAGGTTGTCATCCGCGGCTGCCGGCCAGGGGGTAGCGGTGGCCTATTGGGCTGTTTACGTGGGAGGCAGGAAAAGGGGTACCGACCTTGGCCCCCAGGTTCCCTGTCCCAGCTAGGGGCATTCGAGAGGCCGCAGGTGAGAAGGCGGAGCTGGTTTTGAATGAATCTGTGAGCAAAGACCTCTTGCCCCGTCCCAACCAGTCGTGCGTGAGAAATCCCAGCGTGAGGGTGGGCCAGTGGGAGGCTTGGGAGCTCCCCTGCAGGGCCCAGAAGGGGTGCAGCTGAGTAGGGGGCGCGCCCGCCTGGATGCTAGGAGTCGCAGGCTTCCAGTCCTCTAGGGCCCACGCCCGCAGGCTGTGGCCGCTCACCCGGCCAGAGGTGGGGCTGGTCCCCCTCCCCCTCCCCCACTGTGAGGGTGTGTTAATGGGGCGATGGCCCCTGCCTGTAGAGGTGTATTTTCTTGAGTCGGTACCCACGTGTCACTCAGTCTCAGCCCAGCAAGCGTTTCCGGGACCCATCCTGGCCCGGCCCAGGGAGGCAGACTCCAGGAGGGTGAGGCTTGGGGCTTCCCGAGGAGGGGCTTCCGTGGAAGGAGGCGTAGGAGGAGTTCCCAAGGGGACTAGGAGCCGAGGGCCCGGCAGACCTGTTTGACTTCCCCCATTTGTCCAGCCCTAGTGAGTGTGATGGAGCGTCCCCCCACTCCTCCAGGTTCCAGTGCCCCCCCCCCAACCGCCTCCCCGAAAAGCCTGCAGGGCAGACTGGCTCATCCTACCACCCCCCTCCACCCCTTGGGGGCGGGACCACATACATCCGTGGGGTCTGCACCTTCAAGTCAGGGGACTAAGAAAACATGAAAGAGCAGACGTTTCCAGGGTAGGTTTTCACACTCTTCTACCCCCCTGGGTCTCTTCCCCAGGGCTCCCCCCTTCTCTCCCTACTTGGCCTCACTTGCACCTACAGAGATTCACCCCGTTTTTGTTTTGTTTTTATTTTTTTGCTTTTTAAGGAAAACAAATTAATTTTGCTTTTTTAATACAAAGGACATGTATATTACATAAAATAGAATATTGCTAAATACAATGACAATTGACCCCCCCCCCCCAATCTCCTCCATTCCCATAGAGCATTGTTTTGGGTAAACACACAAGTATTACTATGTTTTCTACCAAAAGGTTATTGGTGTGGGGGTGGGGGGCTCAAAAGCCATATCCCTGGGCTCAGACTCAGGATAGGACCATCACCAGGTATTTTTCTTGCCAGGTCTGGGCGATGCTGCATGGCCCCTGCCCAGTTACTGTCCAGGCTTTGGCTCTCAGGTTAAGGTCTGGGGCAGATCTGAAACAGCAGCCCCAACACTATCCAAGTCTATGGTCCTGGCTCCTTCTGGCATCCCTCCTCCGAGGTTCCCTGTCCCTCATGTACATAGATGCCAGCTGAGACCACCCCATCTGTACTGTCCAGAGCAATGAATCAGTCCAGGGTGCTCACACTGGGGCTCAGCACGCTCCTACCCACCATATGTAAATGCCAAAGACCAGAGAGTAAAGAAGGCTGATGGGGCAGGAGGTGGGGTCTTGAGCCCATGTTTATAGGGTAGATAAGGGTGGGATGTTGCCTCAGGTGAGGTGAGGAGGAAGGAGCAGGCCTCTTGGCACTGTGACTAAGAGGCCACTGAACTGAAGGTCAGTGCAGTGTGGTTCCCTGGTGCACAGGGAATTTTGCCCCTGGTCTAGGGCTAGGATTTTGTCAGTAGAGGGAGGATATGCCAGAACCCGCGGGGCCCTGGCTCTCTCTGAACAGGGAAGGAATCTGTAATAGAACAATTTCAGTTGCATAAGACAGAGCCCAGCTCCAAGTACTTTGGACCAAAAAGAAATGATTTCGCTCACATAACTGAGAAGTCCAGGGTGCAGCTGGAGCCAGGGGCACAGTGTGTGGTTGGGAGTGCACGTCCTCATCTCTGGGCTCTGTTTCCTTTGTGCCAGTTTCATTCTCATTCAGGCTCTTCCCAAGCAGTGACAAAGGAGGGAGACCTCCCCTTCCTTCAGCTCAGCCCCAAGGGAAGAGAAACTAGTGCCTCTTTCCTGTTGGTCCAGCCAAAGTTGCAGGTTGCTTGGTCTGTCTTGAATCTGCCCAACTTTGAACTAATCATTTTAGAAAGGTGAATGGAATATGCAGGTTGGCCAGGCCTGTTTCACATGCCCACACCTGGAGCTAGGGAGTGGGGTCAGCCCTCCCAACAGGCACATGGATTAAAGGCCCCCAACGTCCATCAGGATTGGGGAAGGGAATCTGGGCAGGCACAAACTATAGGTATCCTTTGAAGTGAAGTCAGAATGTGTAGTTAGGAATGCAGGTGAGAACACTGCTGTGGTGGGAGAGGGGGGCTGTGGTCCTAAGGGATCCTGGGAGCTCAAGTTTAAGCTCAGGGCATACCAGGACATGGGTCCCGTTGGCTGTGGCATGGGCACCTCCAGGATGATGTCTCCGGTCAGCTTTGGTAAGAGAGACAATTGGTCTGAGGAAAAGGCATAACTTCTCTGCCTCCACTGCAGGATAGTACCTTCCCCCTCTCGCTACTGTGACCACGGGCTCTTCTTCTGAGAAGGCAGTGGAGGGAGGGACAGTCCTCACTGCAAGTTTGGGCTGAGCTGGGCTGGACTCTGTAGAGCCAGACACACAAGAGGCTGCCTGTGAGATGATGAACAAGTATGCCAACTGGGTGGGGACAACTGGGCCATGTGGGACTGGATGGGTTGCCCCCAGGGCTGGGTTTGGGGTGATCTGGATGCCTATCTGCATCTCCAGGAGGCGAGATGGCGGCTGGGCCAAATGGGCTCGAGGAGTGGGTGGGCAGTGCATACCTGTTTGTGGAGTCCTCGCTGGACAAGGTGGTCCTGTCAGACGCTTACGCTCATCCCCAGCAGAAGGTGGAGGTGTACAGGGCTCTTCGGGCTGCATTGGCAGGTGGGTGATTGAGTCATACGGTGTAAAAGGGGAGGCTCTTGGTGGGCGGGGCCAGGGGCTGAGACACCTCCCCTCCCCAATCTGTTCCACTCTGTGGGCATGTGCCTAACCGCCAGTAGGGAAAAGATTTGATGGCAAGGATTGGACTGGTTGCTTAGGCTGTCTTCTTCGTTACCCATATGTAGATATCTAATCTACGTGTCTATGTATGGTCTACCTATGTGTGCACTAACGTCCTCCACTCCCCAAACCAGTCGGATCACTGCTTTCTACTAATCACGCACATCTCTCTCCTCTTTTCCTCTCTCACTGCAGCACTCCTTGCCCCAAACCCCTTCCCAGTAACTACCTTCGGGGTCCCCCTTTCCCATATCAGGGCAGAGGCACAGGAGACTGAGCCTCGTTGGGGGATCCCACTCTGGGGCAGCAGGAGCCATACTTGGTGGAGGCCTAAGATCCGAGACCTCCCACCCCTTCCCTGCCCCGCTGGCCTCCTACCCAGATGGCTTGGCTGTCCAGGGCATTCGCCCCCCTCTGTGCTGCAAAGTCTCTCCGCATGTCCCTTTTGCCCACCTTAATTTGGGGCTCCAGAGATGGGGCTAGGATGGTACCCACTCCCTGGGATAGGTCCCGGCCTTCATTCTGGCATCCCAATTTTGTTTTCTGGCTGGGAGCTCTGGGGTAAACCCGCGCTCCTAGGTCTGGGGGCTAGGGAGGGGCTCTGACCGCGGGCTTCACCCCTCCTCCGACTGCTTGGAGAACGGTCCGGTGGGGGACCGTCTGGCGCCTGACTGCCGCCTCCGCAGAGAGCGGGAGCCCTGACGAGTTGCAGATGCTCAAGATCCACCGCAGCGATCCGCAGCTGATTGTGCAGCTGCGTTTCTGCGGACGCCAGCCCTGCGGCCGCTTCCTCCGCGCCTACCGCGAGGGGGCGCTGCGCGCCGCGTTGGAGGGCCGCTTGGCCGCATCGCTCACCCTGCACTCGGTGCCGTTGCAACTGGAGCTGCGCGCCGGCGCGGAGCGGCTGGACGCCTTCCTGGCAGATGAGGAGCGTTGTTTGAGTAGCATCTTTGCCCAGAAGGTGCGGCGGGACTGGGCCCAGAGGTGGGGCAGGGATTCGTGGCTAAGACCCCCACCGACGCAGCATTCCTCTCCCTAGCCTGACCGGCTCCGGGACGAGGAACTCACGGAGTTGGAGGATGCGCTCCGGAATCTGACTTTTGGCTCAGGGGGCCAGGGTGGCAACGTAGAGGTAGCTCCAGCCCCCTTGCAGTCCCTGGCCCCATCTTCGTCGGAGAAGCCACCGCCACCGCCACCATCTGGCCAGACTTTTATGTTCCAGGGCCAGCCCATAGGTGAGGCGCTCTTGGAGAGGCAGAGACAGGGTCACCTGGAAATGGCAGGGCGGGAATGGAAGGGTATCGGTGTGCCCCCGCCCCCAGCTCACTCCGCTTCTCCCCCCCGCCCCCCCCTCTTGCAGTGAACCGGCCAATAAGCCTGCAGGACCAGCAGACGTTTGCGCGCTCAGTGGGCCTCAAATGGCGCAAGGTTGGACGCTCCCTGCAGCGTGGCTGTCGGGCACTGAGGGACCCAGTGCTCGACTCCCTGGCCTATGAGTACGAGCGCGAGGGGTTGTACGAGCAAGCTTTCCAGCTACTGAGGCGCTTCGTGCAGGCCGAGGGCCGCCGCGCCACGCTGCAGCGCCTGGTGGAGGCGCTCGAGGAGAACGAGCTCACCAGCTTGGCAGAGGACTTGCTGGGCCTGGCGCATCCCGATAGCGCCCTGGCCTAGGCTGGGCACCAGACACAGGGACGGTCAGCCAGTTGCCCAGCCAGGGTTTGGAGCACCTGGATGACTCTAGGGTCCCTTCTTGCTGCTACGGCTGCCCTGTCCATTCACAGGACTTACAACCCTACTTGGCGCTGCTGGGCAGAATTGACTGTCTTCTCCAGGAGTCAGACCGGCACCCACCATGCCTGCTGGGGTGCCATTGGGGATTCCGCCCCAGATACTATGATAGGGACAGAGTGTGGGGGCGATCTGCTGCAGAGGTCGGCCTCACCTTACCTATCCCAGAAGGGGGGCTTTTGGCCAGCCCTTACCTCTTCTCATTGCACAATCACTCATTAGGCACCTGCTGTTGTTTTAGGCATCATCCTGGGTGCTACAAATACCTTTGGTGAACAAGACAGCTCCCAATTCACACTCAATATGGGACTCCAAGTATTAAGCAACAGTAATAAAATGTTACCTGTTTCTCTTTAACATTTAATTTTTTGATTTGAGGGAAAGAGAGGAAGGAAGAGAGAAACATCAAGTTGTTGGTCCACCCATTTATGCATTCATTGGTTGCTGCTTGTATGTGCCCTAAGGATGGAGCCTGCAACCTTGGCTTATCGGGAGGACACTCATTTGAGCTACCCAGCCAGGGCATGGTACCTGGTTCTTGATGTGAAAAAATACAAGGAATTGTGGGAGCACTGAGCAGGGGCCTAACCCAGATTAGGGCTTAGGCTTCCTGGGAGCGATATGAGTGTGAATAAGGGAGGGTGTATGGGGATGGGGGGGTTAGAGAATGGCAATGTCCTGGGCATAGCCAGCCTCAGGTGAGGTCTTGAGGGAGGAAAGAGGGAAAGATGTTCCAAGAACAGGAAGTTTGAGTGTCTGGACCTAGGGGTGGGTGGATTTGCAGAGACCGGCTGGTGAGTGGGGGAGGTAGATAGCAGGGGGTCTGGGAAGCCATATTTTAGAGTTTGGTTTTATCCCGAGGTCAGTGAGAAGCAAGGGTTTCAGGAATGGAGGCTGGGTGGCTGGTGAGGATGGAGAGAGCGAGAAGCCCAGGCTGGGACAGTGGTAGCAGAGATGGAGGGAAGGGATGAACACGGAGAGTTGTTTTAGACAAAGGATAACAGGCCTGGGGACACTGGATAAGGAGTGAGGTGAGAGAGGACCCCAGAGTTTCTGTCTTTGAAGTTGGATTAAAGGTGAGGCTTCTGCTGAGATACGGGTGGGCCTGGAGGAGGTGAAGTGCTTGCTCTGTTTGGAACAAATTGGGCATGATGTTCCCTGTAGAACATTCAGGGAGAGTCTAAGGACAGCTGGATCTTTAGTTTTGAGTTCAGCAGAGGGTCAAGGCTAAAGATGCACCAATAGACAGAGCGGAGTGGGTGGGGTGGCCCAGGGGGAGGTCCTGAAGGACACTGACCAGAAAAGGAGCCCCCCAAAGAGCAAAGAAAAAGTAGAGTTGGAAGCCAGGGGAATACCCACCTGCTGTAGGGAGGCTGCAGATCAGTCAAGGAAAAGGCTCCTGGGTGGGAGGTATTTCTAGGACATGGTGGGTAGAACCTGAAGCCAGACCACAGGGGGGCCGGGAGGTGAGGCAGTGGAAGAAGCAATAGCAGACACCTGAGAGGTCTGTGAACAGGAAAGTGAGGCTCAGGAGGCAGGGCTTGCTTTTGAAGGGAGAACATTGGTGGTAAGATGTCAGGAGCAGGCATAGCCACTGAAAGGAGGATGGCGCTGGGTAGCGGTGCTGGTTTCCATAGCCTGTCCTCAAACTCTGGAGCGGGGTGGGGTGGGGTGGGGAGGACTGTCTACTCCAGGCTCCTCTGAGACTGAGTTCCAGGAAGAGGGAGCTGGCAGCAGAGCTAGGCAAGGACTGGGCCCTCAGTCTCCATAGTACCTCTCTGCCCACCTGGGCCCCAGATCAAACCCTTCGCTCGCTGGCCTACTTCCGGAGTTCCCCAACCTGGCCTGCAGTGGCCCAGGCTTGGTTATTTCTACCTGGAGGCTATGCTGGCCTGGGGCATTAGGGACCAGGGGACTCAGAATTGCCTCTGAAGAGACAGACAAGTGCTTACCTGTGAAATTAATGGATGGGAAAAAAACACACACACAGGGCTGGCCTGTGTTTTTAATAAATTAATTTCACAGGTGAGCACTTAAGTCTGTCTCTTCAGAGGCAATGTGTTCCAGTGGATGGATGAGAGAGAGGCAAGGGAGGACAGAGGAAAGAGTCCTGGACTGAATTCCAAAAGACCCGAGGCTGTTTTTTCCTGCCCCCGCCCCCCGAAAAGCAGAATTGGGGAGCTTGAGCCTGTATCCAGACCAGAACCCACCTCTCCGGGAATTCTCAGAAAGAGTTGCCTGTTAGGATCCCTCTCTGAGATTAGTCCCCACGCGGAGACAGCACTCCCCGAGTCGCCTGGGTGGAGCTGAACTCCAGCTGTCCGCGCGCACAGCTGGAGGGTCACGTGGTAGCAGCCCCAGCCCCCCTTCCTGCCAACGCTGCATCTGGCCCAGGCGGGTCCATGGCCGCCCTTGGGGCCCTGCGCTGAGCCCTGGAGGCCCCGGCGTCCGGGGCCCTGCCGCTCCCAAGGGCCAAGCGTGTGAGTGTCCGCATCACAGGGACCGACGTGGTGAGTAGAGAGGAGTAGAAGGGACTCGGCCGCAGCGCAGGGAAGGCGGGTGGGGGTGGGGCTGAGGCTCTGTTTCTCCCTGCCCGGCCTTGGAGCCCCATCTAGGGCTGAAGTTGAGGGGTGGGAGTTGGCTGCTTGGAAGACTCCTTGCCCTTTCAGGGTGCCATCCCGCTCGGGTGGGGGGGATGAGGGAGTACGAGCCCAGAGACGGGGATGAACCGCCGGTAGTGGGGAACCCGGCGGGTGGCCTCCAGCCGCCTCCCTCGGGGTGGGCGGGGCCCGGGAACCCTAACAGAGTTTCTCCGCAGGGGGCGCGGGCGCCGGCCACGCGGACATGAGGTGGAGGCTGCGCCTACGTGGGGACGCGTTGCTCACGCTGATCCTGGGCGCCGCCCTCAGCCTCCTGCTCTATGCGCAGCGCGATGGCAGAGCTCCCACCACCAGAGCGCCGCGAGCGCAAGGGAGGGCAGCGCGGGGGCCCACCCCCCGGCTCCGTGTATTCCAGGCGCCGGACGAGGGCGCAGCCCTGCAGGTCTATGAAGAGGACACGCCGGAGCCGCCCACGCCCACGGGACCCTTTGACTTTCGCGGATACCTGCGTGCCAAGGACCAGCGACGCTTCCCCCTGCTCATTAACCAGCCGCACAAGTGCCGAGGCGATGGCGCACCCGGCGCAGGACCCGACCTACTCATCGCCGTCAAGTCAGTGGCGGCCGACTTTGAGCGGCGCCAAGCTGTGCGCCAGACGTGGGGGGCGGAGGGTCGCGTGCAAGGGGCGCTCGTGCGCCGCGTGTTCTTGCTGGGCGTGCCCAAGGGCGCAGGCTCAGACCCAACGGAGGCGGAGGGGACTGGCTCGCAAGCGCGCTGGCGCGCCCTACTGCGTGCTGAGAGCCGCACCTACACAGACATCCTGCTTTGGGCCTTCGACGACACCTTCTTCAACCTAACGCTCAAGGAGATCCACTTTCTGGCCTGGGCCTCAGCCTACTGCCCCAACGTACGCTTCGTTTTTAAGGGCGACGCGGACGTGTTCATGCACGTGGGAAACCTGCTGGAGTTCCTGGCGGCGCGGGACCCGGCGCAGGACCTGCTTGTGGGTGATGTGATCGTACAGGCACGGCCCATCCGGGCGCGAGCCAGCAAGTACTACATTCCCGAGGCTGTGTATGGCCTGCCGGCCTACCCGGCCTACGCTGGCGGAGGCGGCTTCGTTCTCTCGGGGGCCACGCTCCGCCGCCTGGCCGGTGCCTGCGCCCAGGTGGAGCTCTTCCCTATAGACGATGTCTTTCTGGGGATGTGTCTGCAGCGCCTTCGGCTCACACCTGAGCCTCATCCTGCTTTCCGCACCTTTGGCATACCCCAACCTTCAGCTGCGCCGCACCTGCGCACCTTTGATCCCTGCTTTTACCGTGAGCTAGTTGTAGTGCATGGACTATCCGCCGCTGACATCTGGCTAATGTGGCACCTACTGCATGGTTCGCCTGGGCCAGCCTGTGCACATCCACAGCCTGTAGCTGCTGGCCCCTTCCAGTGGGGGCCGTAGTAACATGTCACAGCCCAAAGCTCCCCTCATTCAGATCCAGGATGTAGAAGGGACGAGTTTCCCAGGTGGATTATTGCAGGGTATGTGGTTCTTCCCCCAAAAGGGCATAAGAGTTCAGGAACCAGCTGGTGTCAGATGTCTGCTTCCTCAGGGTTCCAGGGAATGAAGATTGAGTTTGGTTCCTGTCCCCCTACTTGGGAGC